AAGCATGACTTATGGAGAGGAAGCACATGTGAAGAGGAGAAAAGGTGGGGACTGGATCAATCTCTGCTTTGTCTCCTGGCCAAAATGTGGCACAGGGTACAAGACAAGTGCATTGGCCATGGTACAGACAGACAGTCAATCATAAAAGATGCTCCTCTGCTTTTAGATGCTGGACCTTTTGAAGAATGAAAATAGATGGAGTTATGGTGCCGTTCGAGATCCACTGTACCATTCCCCAAAAGATTTCAAAACACTTTATAAATATGAAAAAAATCAAGTCCCACATGGCATTCCTGTGGAGTGGGTAAGTATTATAATATCCATTTTACCAAAGGGTAACACGAGGTAGGAAATATTAAACAATGACAGAGAGACATGCATGCAAATTAGACACACAAATAAGCAGCCTGATCTTGCCTTATATAGGTGCTTGCATAGGAAAAACCCAAATTCAAAAACCCTGACTCAGTAGCCATCTCCAAGAGCTAAGCTATAACTGACCCCACAAGCCCCAAATCCCTGTGTCCTGCTCTAGCCCCTGGAAGACTGTGTCCCTTTGTATGACATACCAAACCTTGGCTGGGGCAACTATCTTCTTTTCAGGTTTTTGAAAAATCAAGAGAGATACTTATAATATATGCACATCTCCATTATTAACAAATCAGTAGTTCAGTGTCACAATATTCAGTCTACATCCATCCTACTGTAAACTCAGTTCATATCGTGTCTTTTGGGTCAGTTTAAATATTGCACACAGGCAACTGGAAAGAGTCCTAATCTTTAAAGTCAGGTATTTGAGAGATTATAGTCTCATCATGTGTTTCTACAAAGGTAAAGTTTCTAGAGAGGGAGCATTTATATGCTTATCTGTGATTTGATACCAGATTAATTTTCCAATGTGAAAGACACTAGGAAATCCTTATGAGGTAGGATCAGATGGAGAAAAGTTCAAGAAAAAGGAAAAAAAAGGGACAGATTTTTATAAAATCTTTTAAATTCAGTTGTGATTAGTCATGTCACAGAGTTTTAAAAAATCCTACATTTATATCAACTAGTTATATATATACTTGGTCATAATCAGTCATCGTTATGGTTTTCATTTCATTTCGATTCTGAGCCACACACATCATCAGGCTGTAAACCCCTATGACTACAGTTGTCTAAAGAGTAGAAAATCCACAGTGTTATTTGCTCCAAAAGTAATAAGCAGAAATAAGATTCAGCAGCTGCATAAAGAGGACTCAATGCTCAGCTAGTATTAAACGATGCAGGTTCTTGTTTCTAATCCACTGTGAGGGGCTTTCAAGTAGGCAAGAATAATACTCTTGGTTCCCAGTATTGGCTATCTAATTCCAGTCTTTGATTCGCTTAATTTACATGTAATCCTGCAGTCTGCCAGCAATTGATAAGGTTCCTGATATGTGTAAATTCAAGTAGAAATGTACTTATTTCAGTCATCTTACTGCCTTTTGGATAGCTCAGCCACAGGAAGGAAGGCCGCTCAGGTTAAACCTGCCAACAAGGCTTCTAATTTATCAGCTTGGACTATTTGTTCTTGCACTATTTTATTCTCTAGGTTTAAAATTCCTGAAATTTTCAGTGACTGCACCTGCATTCATTATATTAGTTGCCTTCTAGCTTATTAATGTAGCTTATAGCTTACTGCACATCCTGAATGGCATGGAAGGAAAAGAAGGGCACAATGTTACCTCCAATTCAATAATATCATCTTGCAGCCATGAATAATGAGCACAATCTACAAAATATGTCTAAGACTCAATTTTTCACTGTTTCAGGACGAGTTAACTAGGATAAGCTATTCATTTAATGAAGAACAGATAGGGAGAGACTTTGCAAAAGCATTCATCGTTAGTTGAACATGCTCCCACTGATGTTAATGGGACGCAAACTTAGGCGAGCCCTAAGCATATTTCAGAGTTGCCTTTTAAAAGTTCACTCCTGAGTGATGCTGAGATTTGGTAACTATATATTAAAGTTTATGGCAGTCAAGGGCACTGAACTGCAAACCTTTTCAACTCCCTTGCCCACTTAAACTTCCTTTAAGGTTCCAAAATGTCTCCATAACTATTTATTTCATGCTAGGTAATGTGGGGCCCCTGCAAAGTATGCTGGGCAATTTGGTGGTTGTGCCAGAGGAGAAGGCGGACCTCTTTAACCAATTCTTCACCTCTGTTTTCTTGTGCAGGGACCGGGACTCCCCCACCGTGATGCAAGACGGACTCAAGGGGAACACCTCCAGACCTCAGGTTGGGGAGGACCGGGTTAGAGAGCTTCTGGAGGGGCTGGATGTGTTCAAGTCAGCAGGTCCAGATGCTCTCCACCCCAGGGTGTTGAGGGAGCTAGCTGGGGTTATTGCAGGGCCCTTGGCATGGCTCTACGAGCGCTCTTGGTGCTCCGGCCAGGTGCCAGATGACTGGAAGATAGCTAACGTGGTCCCCATCTTCAAAAAAGGGAAGAGAGAGGACCCAGGCAACTATAGGCCCATCAGTCTCACCTCAATCTTTGAGAAGATCCTCAAGGAGCACATCTGTGATGGG